TCCATCATGACTTAGTCACTCGCATTTTCCGGCACTTATAAGATAGCCCGAAATTGATTAAAAATGAAAAGTGGTCTAGCATCTGTATGAACTGATTGAGAAAAAAACACTCTTACACAACAAACGAACAGAAGGCTGTAGATGCCAGGATTTTAGGCATTGGTGTTTAAAAATGACCGAGCAATTCCAAGCCCCTTCAGCCAGTTTGGTCCTTTATACTCTAGGGTCTCATTGGCTAATTTTGACATTTCCTTTGTCTTGATTGCCGCATTGATTACTTTCAGTGATTTTTCTCTACGAATAAGCTTCAAATTGAATTGCACTCTTTTATGATTTGCATTTTGGTTGGTCCATAAAGATTATTTTGAAAAACCTTGACCCAAAACGGAAAATACTCGAAGCCACACGTACTTTCAGAAGTTGTAAAATACATTGTTTTGAAAGTGTAAGTTCGACTGAGAGATACTATGTCATTGTTTGGGGCAAGCCAGCTTTACCAATAAAAATCGAGAGAAAGAGACAATTTTCAATTTTTTTGCTTTTGTTTTGCTTTTTTTAAATGATTTTCAAGTTGTTTTATTTTGCAGGCCACCCCACACTTGCCGTACGAGTTCACGGTTCTAGGGATGTTAGAGAGACTAAATGCTTATGTAGAATATCAGGTAGCCGATCTATTCCTACGTTCCTCATCTCTTGCTCAGTATTTCTCATCCTTGATAATCAGGAATAATAAAACCCATCCAATCCTGCCAGCCCTAATGAAGAGGAATTCAGATTTCTATGCCATGAGTAGTGCCTTGTAGGGGTTTACTTAGTTACTTGGCGTGCTTGTTGGCTTGTTTAATTTTGGGAGGGGTTTTGTTGCTGTTGTTATTATTGTTGTTGTTTTGTGTGAGTGTGTTTTTTTTTTTCAATTTCTTTTGATTCCATACTTTTAAATCTACGATAAACTTCGCATTCTACAATTGTGTAATCGTGGTACATAATACCCTAAATCATACTTAATAATGGTTTCCTTCTGAGCCTGAGAGCCGGTCCTCGTTATACATAATTTATATTACGTACGGGACACGCGTTTTTCCGCCTGCGGGAAGAGTCGGGGAGAGGTTTGCCGGGGGTCTGGCGCTAATGACATTCCCAGACCCAAGGCGGACCTCCAGCTGGCTCGCGTTGCTCAAACAGGCTTCATCCTTTCCTGCAGGCAGAGAAATGCTGGTGCCTAAGTGATAATAATGAAGGCCTGCTTGAAAACTAGTTTTTACTATGCGCTGCTTATGTTACTAGCATCAATAATTACGGCACGGAGAACGGCTTACCATCTCCCTGATTAAATACTTCATGGCCGACTTTACACTCACCTTCACTTTGCCCTCTCTCTTTCTGAGATTTATCTTTTCTCTTAAATTTTTCGTTTTACTCTGGGTGAGAGAGAAGTTGTGTTTTAAAAGAAATTATGGGTTTTCCTTAACTCAGGACTTTTGTCGCCCTAATGACTGGCCTCCTATCAAAGAACTGAAAACCGCGATCAGTAAAGATGGCCAATCGTGTGAGTTTGCGTGTCTGGACAAGGGTCTCGTCTGTGAGCCTACTTTCTTCCCATTAATCAACACAAGAGACACATTCAAAAGGTAAGAAGATTAAGAGTATACAATTTTTCGGTCTTTTAACCCTTTAACTCCTGTGAGCATCTCATTTCTCTTAACAGTTACAAACATTAAGGTCACGAGAACAATGGAAGCCCAAGTTATCACTGTAGTTAATATAGCAAATATATAAAGATACATTCTGACTCACCAAACCCTCCGTTTTTCGACTTTTCCATGCAAGAAACCGTACCATTTTTCTTCCCTTTTGAAACTTTTTTTGAAAATATTTGTTTCTGGACGTTTGAATGTAATCGATAGGCAAAATGATGCGTTTTCGAACGAAAACGCTCCATTGTGTGGGGATTTAATTTCATCCTTTCTTTTATCAGAGCCGGGATGCCCTGCAATGCATCAACGATAGAACTACGTGACAGCATCCTAGCTCCATCAATGAACACAGCAGACAACACGTGCATGCTACAGAATGAGGCACTCCTATTTAGCTGCCGAGCGGCAAAGGCTGGTGTCGTTCGTATCTGCCCTTGCCGCTCCTACCGCAAAGAACAAGTTGCACTATGTGAATCGTGCTTGGGAAGCTGACACCACAGACGGCAAAAGAACAAACATGTTAAAAACCAATATGTTTATATTCTCTTGGCTACTGATTCGTGAATGCGGGTTTCCAGACGTTTCACCATCCATAAGATGATTACAGTGGAATACACCAGCCTCGAAACTCAGCCTTAGGTCTCAGCACTAGATCAAGAAAAGTACAGTTGGATCTCTTAAGAGAATAGCGCGTTTTGACCAAACGTTGTAGAACAATTTATTGCAATGACACCTGAAGACTGAAACGATGAATCACGTATACGCATCAAACTTATGTCCACAAATCTTCTTTCTAAAGGAGATGTAAACGTGTAACAGTTTCGTACAAGTTCGTTGACGAATATTTTTTTTTGTTAAAGTGCCTTTGAAAAAATCCTCAAGTTTCATGTTCAGAAATGTGATTTTTCTAACTTCACAAAAGAGCAGTGACATTTAAAACTAGTTTCCAATATATAGCCAATCCTATCTAATATCAAGTAGTTTCTTTGGAGATTTTTGTCTGCTTAAAATTTGTCTCGAAATTACTCATAGTGAACGAGGTAAAGGGGTATGAATATGGCTGCCTATCCCTAACCCAAACTAGACCATTAGCTCATTAAAAAACGTAACTATTTTAGCATTCAGAGGAGATTTTCTTAGCCCACAAAGGAACTGTGACTTTGAGACTTGTGTGTTACAAAGCGTTCATGGCGCTTTTTTAGCTCACTAAAAATTGTTCCTATTTTTAGGAGATTTTCTCAGTCCACAAAGAACCTGTGACGTTAAAACATTTCGTTGTGCCCATCATATTACGATATCTCTAACGAACCTTTAATTGTCTCGGAATTCTCCTTATTGACCGAGACATAAAGGCATGAGAAATAAAACAATAGAAATTCGTAAATGATCTTTTGAAGCTACCTTCCTAACCCTTGTTGAAAGTTTTATTATTTTGCTTACCAATCAAACGTTATTCAGAGAGGATTTCCTTGACCCACACAAGAGCTGTGACTTTGAAACTTAAGCAACACAGACGGCTAATTACGCTCTTCGAACGTGTTAGACATTGTTCTCAAAAATTTTATATTAAGCAAAGATATGAGCCTAATATCGTGACAACAAAATTCTGTTATTAAACATTAGGAGACAGGTAATTGACCCTTATAAAACATGGTCGATGTTGCATATCGAAACAGTAAAATTACACTGACGACTGACAGGAATGGAACTAGTTAGAGAGGCATTAGAACGGGTGAAACAAAGAGGCAGAACATACAAAATTATTTCAATAATTCCTAACATTTTAAGAAAAAATTAAACTTAACTACAATAGAAATTTATATTGGGACTATGCCCTTATAGAATTTTTGATAATAACTACAATCATATAGTTCACAACTGTTTAAAATATTTAAATTTGACTAATAAATACTTAACAAATAGATTCCAAGTTG